CATGACCACACGTTTCCACAGGACCACATCTGCACTTGACCGCACACGCGCGCGCTGTGGAGTGTGCACCGGGTGTGCACCAGGTGTGCACCAGGTGTGCACCGGCTGTCGTCGAGCCGCCGTCGTCGAGCGGCCCGTCGACACGGTAGCATCCACGGTACCTTCACGGTTGCATCCACGGTCCCACACGGTAGCACCCTAGCACCCAACGGTGGCAAGCCATGGCCTGCTTTGAAGAATTTTCATGGTCCGCGCCGCGGTTCAATGGAGATTGCATGCATGAGCACAGCAAACAGCTCCAACTCGGGCATTGCATCACGCAGGCACAGCCGAGACACAGCACCGGAGAACTTGGAACATCCCGCCATGGTTCTTCTCCGCGGATGGTCGTGGTCGATGATGCTCATGCTGGTTTTGCATGTGCGACAGACCATGGCTGGAGAGGCCACGAACGCCACGGCTCCAGTGGCTTCAGCGGCGGAGCCAGTGGTCGCAGATGTTCCAAGTGGCATCATGTGGTTGGAGGACCAGCGGTAGTGGAGGAGCCAGCGGTTCCAGTGGAGCCAGTGGAGCAATTGAGGAGCCAGCGGCCTCAGTGGAGCCAGCGGCCCCAGTGGAGCCAGCGGCCCAAGTGGAGCCAGCGGCCCCAGTTGAGGAGCCAGCGGAGTCAGTGGAGCCAGCGGCCCCAGAGAGGAGCCAGCGGCCCCAGTGGAGGAGCCAGCGGCGCCAGGGGCCAGTCAAAGAGCCAGCGGTCCCAGCGGAGCAAGCGCAATGCAGGAGCCAGCAGCTGAGCCAGCGGCCCCAGCAGAGCCAGCGGCCCGAGCGGAGCCAGCGGCTTCATCCGGAACGTCATCGTTGGAGGGCCAGAGTGCCGTGGATGACGCTGCGGAAGCTGCGGAAGTTCGCAGGCGAGGGCAAGAAGCACTTCGGCAAATGCAACACAGAACCCAGCGACGGGAGCATCTGGCCAGAGAGGAGGCCGCGAGAAGTCGAGAGCAGGCGATTCAGCAAGAAGTCGAGCGGCGACTCTCTGCGGCAGTGCAGCAGCAGGTGGCTGCACGAGAGAGTGCTGCGGCTCGCGAAGGCATGGCCATGCCTTTTCTCATGGAGGTGCTTCAGGCTGTGGTGGGTTTGGTGAGGCGCCAAGAAGAAACACAGGCCCTTCTCCAGCGCAGTTTGGAAGCTGCCGAGCAGCAGAGACGAGAGGAGGCCCGCCAGAGGACCCGAGACGCTCAAAATTGGGCAGCGGCAGTGAACCAGATAACAGACTTGGTGAGAATGCAGATGACGGGGGGGGTGTCTACAGCCGCACCAGCAGGACAGGCCCCGGGAACGCCTGGATTTCCTGCACCGCTGACTCCCGGTGAACGGCGACCGCCAACGCCGAAGCGGACGCGCTGCATGCGGTGCGAGGCCTGCCTCGCCGGCCTGCCGGCAGGAGCGAAGCGACTCCCTTGCAGTCAGTGGACGACGCCAACCCTCGCGAGGGACAGCCAGGGGCGGTGGTTGTCAGTGGAGCGCTCTGCCTCACCGGCACCGGCTTGTGGTGCCAAGCGATCGGTGGAGGAGGAAGAAGCCACGGTCAAAAAGAAGAAAGAAAAGAAAAAGGCCAGAGTCGAAGCCCCGGAACGCCAGCCAATCAAGGTCAAGGATGACAACGATGACGAATCAGATCGCGGTCCCGGAGATGCTTTGGGCTCTTCTGATCCGCCTCCGCTAATAGGGGCTTGCTAGGACAGCTGCAGCAGCACGCATGCAGTCAGCACAACGTGTTACCACGAGCCCCCCCGTCCCCAAACGGATTCCCGATGAATAGTCTATAGCCTAAGTACCGTCAT